AAGCCCTGGGCTCCTGGACTTTTCGTTTGACCTGATGGCCATCTTTTCGGGAAAGATTGTACCCAAAACCATTGGCGAGGAAAGCAACTTTTTCGCGTGGACCATTCCCATCATGGACTCCTTTTCCGCTCGTTTGGAAGGCGACACTGATGATGACACTACGGTGGTTCTTGGTACTCTTTGCTCCTTAATGAAAGCCTTGGCACAGCTCCTAGTTGGTCACCCCGAAAACTGGGAACGGTTGATGCACGTGGGTGGCTTGGGAGCCATTGCCCGTGTCATGCGAGCATCTCCGGTCGTCTCGGACTTTTCGGACATTCAGGAACATGGGTGTGACTTGCTGGCTTGTCTGATCCAAGGAAACGATGCCGCCCTGATGGAGTTGTTACGGCCTCCTGAAAATGACTCTAGTAGGCTCACGATGGATCACATCCAAGGACTGGCTCGTTCCAATGTTGACAGCATCCGGGAGAAATTTGAATCGTCGTTGCTCCCCGAGCTGTGCAAGCAAGTGATGGTTGTCATGAAACGCACCAGCCGGGACGATGACATACAGGTCATGGGCTGTGACATGTTGGTATGGTTGATTTCGACAAAGCCAGCAACGGTGGCTCCATTAGTGTGGGACGACGACGCCGGTATGATGAATCACTTGACGCAGTTGTGTCTTTTCGTTGACGACAATTCAACACTCCTGCTGCCAAAATGCCAAGCAGTGTTGAGAGTCCTGTTTGAACAAGATGGCGAAACGGTGTGTAACAAAATGTTCCAGGCAGCCTATGAAGTTGGCTCTCCAGATTCCAATCCTGCGTATAGCTTTGTGACGACACTGCGAGCGTCCCGAGGAATCGCAAAAATCGAGTAATCACATGGCCCCCCGCGTCCATTGCGGAATGTATGATGGCGACACGCGCCGTCGACAATCTGCAACCCGTGTTCTGAAAAAAAGGGTGTGGTACTATTCATCGTACGACATGTAACTGAATAATAATAGATGTTTCGTTTATTATGCATTATGGATCGTTGTTGTTTTAGTATTCTTAGCAATTGCTAGCTAGCTAATGTATATTGATATTCTAAAATGACACTACTAGAACCGTCGCCCTCTCTTTCACCAAAGTGCCACAATATCATCGTCCAACAATAGTAGCTGTGGACTGGCTCCTTGAACAGATGGTTGTTGTTGTTGCTTTTGTCGTCGAGATTGTTGCTGCTGACATGCCAGATGAATGAGTGAGGGTTGTTGCCGGAGTAGATAATACAAGGCACTCACCGTGCCCCGTTTTTTCTTTTTGTGTTGTGTTTGCCAAGACGGCGAATGGTAAATGTATCCGTAAAAATCTTCCTCGAGATCATCATCATCGTCGTCGTCATCATCAACATCTGGCGGATGGAGTGCCTCGTCCACTGCTTGCGCCGCCTGCAGACACGGCAGCACGAGATGTGGTGGAATGGCTTCGTCGAGTGATCGTAACAGAGTCCGGAATCCTTGTTGATTCAATAGGGGTTGTCGATTGAGTTGGAGAAAGAATTGCAATTTGCGTTGGCGGTTGTCATTATTGTTGTGGTGGTTGCATTCCGGATGCGTAAGAACCAATTCTTCCAATGTGGTATTGTCGTGTTCCAAGACTTGCAAAAAAGGAACATAATGGTGAGTTTGGTCGTCGGGAATGACGCCTCGTAAACACAATTTTTGGAGACAAGTATTGTGCTTGAGTGCTTCCGTCAAACGCAATGGTGGTGACGCCGAGTTGGTTTGTGTCGTTGTGGTCGTCCAACAAGGAGTAGCAAACGTGACATCGATTCGTTTCAAGGATGATTGGTGCAGGACGGCGGCCATGGTGGTGGCCCAGTCATTATTATTGTTACTGTCGTTCGATTGCACATGATCCAATTGTATTTCTTGTAGCTCCTGTTGACAGCGTAGAATCGTGTCCAATTCTTGCGTCGTCAAGGAAATGCGTCGGCCTAGAACCAGTGACTGTAAATTGGAGTTGGAGGTTGTTGTCAACAGCATGGCCTCGAGTGCTTGTTTGGAAATGGTGGATCGATGTCGCATGGCCAATTCGACGTGTTGACAATGTCCTAGCCCCTGGATGATAGGATCCAGTGTCGTGTGGGGTGTGTTATTGTTGGCCAGTACGAGTCGTAAACTGGTCATTTGGACTTTTTGGAGGCGTGTGGATTGTTCGAGTGCTTTTGTGAACAGTGTCAATTGGTCTTGGTCTTGTGATTGTGATGTCGATGCCACCAAGTCAATGTACTGACACGACAAAGTCTCCAAATTGGTTTGGACTTGTAACAACCGTGTCAATGCGGCCACGGAAAAGGCTTCGGCATCTTCACTTCCCTGTAATGTCAATTGCGTCAAATGAGGCAAACTGCCGACGGCGTCAAACAACATCATGATGGGACCACTCGAACTGCTATCCACAGTACTCAGCGTGAGTGTCTGTAGAAACGACCCACAAATCGAGACTTGTTCGAGCGTCGTATTTTGTCTTAAGGCATCGCTCAGTGCTTGAATGCAAACCGTGTCTTCTACACCCACCAATCGCAACGATTTCAATGTCGAATGCTCTTGTTGGAGCCGATAAATCACACTCGATTTGCCACTTCCGCCTGTACTAGTAGTGCAGAAAATCAAACTTTTTTGCAGTAGCAGAGGCAAGTGGCGCCACAGTTCTGTACCGGTAGTTGTAGTAGTTGTAGTTGTAGTAGTAGTAGTAGAGGAACTCATGCTTTCTCAATCCAAAATGGCCACAAAGAAAAACAAACAAAGAGCAGAGCAGAGTTGAGTGGATTTATTTGTGCTCAACTCAGCTCGATCAAGGATACCATTCTCACTCACTTTCTCAATCGTCGAAGTTTTGTTGACACCATGTTGTCGCCACCGAGCCGTTGAACCAAAACTACCTGACACGTTCCAAGAAAATCTCCGGGTCCTCTCACTATCTGACGTTGGCACATGCTTGACGCTTGACAGCTCCCGAACCCTCATGGTATACGTACAACCTTACGTACACTTGGTACCAGCAGCGAGGGGATGCTTCCACCGCCACAAATTCTCAAACTGAAATGCAGCAAGGCTGGAAAAGATCATGAATGTCATCAAAATTAATAATTGAAACCGAAATGATAGTTGTGCCGAATAGAGTACACGCAGTCTACCGGCACCAGTATGTTAACTTATTAGGAGTCTACCGATACCAGTAGCTATGATAGGTCTTATGGCTGTCATGGGATCTTTTTCTATCCGGGACGGAAGGGACATTTATTTAACTCTCGAGGGAAAGGCTTCCATGGATAACTAGTAGACTAGCTAGATATACGGCACGACACGGTAGATAGATTGATAGATAGATGAACCAAGGAAGCCACATTTGAGGTGAGCAGCCAACTGCTCAGGCAGAAATCCAAAGTTGTAACGGGACAGGAGGTCGAAGGTATCATTCATTCAATAGTGGGTCCATGTGCTTATTCATGGAGCTATAGTACCTTTCGGTATAATGCTACAACGATCCCCGGGATGGAGGTGAAGCGGCGAGCAATAGGTCCCGTCTTTAAGGCTAGACGGACCGTGCGTTTCTTTGTGGATGCAAGCAAGATGGCCACCACCAAAGGTGCAGATGTGGTGGATGCTGCGTCTTTCTATGCATCTATGCAGCTAGCTAGCTAAATATTGACTAACTCGCTCGCAGCAGTCTACATCAAGCAAATGGCAGTCGAATCTACTGTAGCAAATAGCTGGCCGTGTAACAGGCTAATAGCGAGGTTTAGTTCCGAGTATAGACTATCAATGCTATGTTCTTCAATGTGCAGTCACTCTTTGCTAAAATCGAATGTCAATATGTAGTGTCAACCAAATCTCTCTTTTGTCTTCTTGCTTCTTCGTCATCACACACGCAAGACAGCGAGCGTTCTTTCGTCTGGTACGTCGGTCGGTTGCTTGCCTTCAAACTCCTAATCGGACTCTAGTATTGTCTGACTCGTCTGTGATGACAGATTCAGATGTTTCGTTCATCTTCCACTGCCCCGGACTCACGGGATTCTTCCCACCCAGGAAATCGGGCAAATCCTCTTTGGAGATGTGCTTTAGCAGTTTCTTGCGGTCTTTTTCATTGTTGTAGGGGCTGACAATGTCAAATTTACTCACCACCCTCTGTGGGAGGACCACACTAAAGAGCTTCCACAGCACACCCACAATGGTGGGTGGATTGCAGGCAAAGATACTCTCCAACATTTGAGGGTAGCAATCTTCCATCAATCCCATGGCATGACCATCTCTCTTGCTGCACTCTCGGTTGAAGGAGCTCACGGACAACCCTGTCAGATCCACACAACGCACTGACTTTGTCAAACGCCCCGTTGTTCGAGTCACATAGTCCAGCCACTGGAACGACCATTCTGATGGATACAAGAGACCGGGGAGCCAATACTCTTCTGGACAATGCTTCACTAGCGCATGCTGATCCATACTGGACAGCTTGAAAAAGCCAACAATCCCTCGCTGGGGATGAGGATGCGTGAAAATCATGGCATCATCGCCCCAACAATCCAACATTTTCCGCAATGCTCCATCCTGGACATGATGAGGCGGAATGGCACGGATATCCGTCTCATCCAGCTGGTGTTCCTGTCGGAATGCCAGTGTATGCTTGGCCGCTTGAATGGCATTGCGACTCTTTTTGTGGGATAACCAGAATCTCAAAATCCAGAGATCATCATGCTTCGCAGCATCATAGAGAGGATCTTCTGCCAGTGCCGCCTTGATTTTGGCAATCTTCCCGGAATGCTCTGCAATCAATGCCTTGACGGATGGACGATCATCTTCCGAACAGACAGGGTCCATCGGATCGGCAATCGGCACATCAACCCCTTTCATCCATGGCCAACAAGAACTCGTCATCTTACTCTGTGGTTGGTTGGGTGGTTGGTTGGTTGGTGGTAAATATATTTTGACTGATCCAATAAATCACTGACCGCCGTAGTTTTGTGGCAGCCCCAGCCTTCGCATCCAACAAGGACGTTGAACCAACGAGGGCTGGATAGTTGATTTAGATCTGGCGGTCTGAGCGTCTATCTGAGCGGTCTCAGCACTCAAGGTGGGCGGGCGTTGGGGAAAGCTTCCGAGAAATGGCGCACCTCGCTTTAATTCAGCAGGCAGGTGGAGAACTATTCTTTAATCAAATCTTTTCTCTATGACTCTGCAGTCCCAGTTGACCCGTACTACTTACGAGTACTGTACCGGTACCAGCGGTACAATGTACCGGTGCGGCGGACATGTACGAGTTTACGGCACAGCAGAACTCCCAAGATTTTTTGTCTTCACGGTTTGCCTCTGGACTCTTTTAACCATGGACCACCCGATCTCTGGGGCCGTTCCCATACTGACTCTTTCGATAGAGTAGCCCCCAAGCTCAAGGTTTGGCCCGAGCAGTATGCATGCCTCGGGTGACTCCGTACAATAGCTCAAGCATCCTGCAAACGCGAGCTCTTCACTTCCCGTTGAAACTGTGCCGCGCTGTTGGAGCCCTAATAAATCCACAACGGACCTGCAAAGATGCAATGGTAGCTCTCGAGCTCCAAAAAATGACGCCCCGCCATGCACACAGATCACCTCTCACGAAGACGTTGCAACACAGCAAGTTTCTCTAGCAATTGGGCGGCTGCATTATTTGAGGTGGAATCGTTCTCTTGTGGTGGTTGCTGTTGTGGAACCTGCAGCTGCGGTTGGGTTGGCTGTTGCTGTTGTGGTGCCTCGACCGCTTGGGGTTGCTGAACCTGCTGAACCGCTTGAAGCGGCTGTTGTCCGCCCAATAGGGACTGTAAGGTTGAGAGGATCTGGGCTGCTGCTTCTCCTTGATTGGCCTGCGTCGCCTCCATTTGCTGTGGAGGGTTCGGTGGCTGTTGTGGAAAGAGACCTTGTTGGTTCAAATTGTTGGAGTCAATTTGGGACAACTGTCTTTGCTGCGGTGGCATCTCAGCAACTGAGTTCCGTTCAAGGTTGGCCAAGCTGGACTGTTGCTGTTGGCTCTGCTCAGCCACAGCCAGCGGCAACATTACGCCCATCTCATTGGATTGACGAGTCTGTGGTTGTGATGGTAGCTGCGAGGTGGAATCCACTCTTTGCCGACCGATTATAATCAGCGCCTGCAGGATGCCTGTGAGGCTTGTGTCTTGAAGCCGTTCTGACGGCGGCAAACTCAGGTACCGCTCCGCCAGTTCCACCATTTGCCGCATGCTCTCATCACAGCGATTTTGTGACTCTTGCTCTGCCGATATCCCCCGATTTGGCCCCGACTGTCCCAATGATAGACTCGGAGCTTGTTGTAGCAGCTGAGTTTGCAAGTCTGCAGGGAGTGCCGCGACAAGGTTTGACCATAGTTGATTCTGGCTTTGGAGACCGCTGCTTGGAACATTCTGCTCATTCAACGACCCTTGACTCGGAACGGTCCCCTGACTCTGGTTTTGGATGCTGCTCTGGGCTTGAGAAAGCAGGTGGGGCAACTGTTGCCCAAGTTGCTGGATCATATCCATGTAAATTTGCGCAGCGGGTGCTTGTCCCATGGGTGATTCACTGGCCGCTACCTGTGGCACCGAGGAATGGCTCCCATGGTACTGGGGTTGCCGCTGCTGCTGCTGCTGCTGCTCCCGCTCCTGCTGGGATTGGGATTGGAACAATTGGCTGAGCACAGTGCCAATACCAGCTGCAACGTTTATGTCTCCTTGAGGGGGATTTGGCAGCTGAGTTTGGCCTTGCCCAAGAGACTGGTTTTGGTTTTGCAGAACCTGATTTTGTGGCCCTTGGTTCTGTATCTGGCTTTGATTTTGAACTGTCTGTTGACCTTGTCCAGGGTCCTGATGTTGTTGCAATATTTGTCCCAAAAAACTGTTGAATTGGGGCGACTGATCACTGGGTATGGGCGGAGCCTGCGGTTGTTCCATGGATGACTCTCCTTGTTGCTGGATGGAGGAAGTCACCCCTTGTTGCTGCTGTTGGGGTTGGAACATTGCAGTTAGCAGGTTGCCAAGCGCCGCCGCAGCATTGGGGCCTCCTTGAGAAGAATATGCCTGCTGGTTCTGGCGTTGGTTGGGCGCCTGACTAGGATTCTGGTCCGTGCCTTGCTCTTGCTGTTGCGATAGAGGTGCCCATGGATGGGCGCATGGCTGTTGCTGTGGCGGCTGCACTTGAGGCTGTGGCGGCGGCTTCGAGCGGGACGTCTCCGTTGATGACAAAGGCGGACGCTTCGCGTCACTCTCCGGGGGCTGCCTGTTCGTTCTTGGTGTGCTCCTCGTCTTGGCCCGTTGCTGCCGTTTCTTCTCTCTCAGCTCTGTCCTCTCATAGATGTCTTGCACATCGCTGTCCATCTTCATCCTGCGGACGAGTTCGGGCTCGGCCTTGTTGAAAAGACTGTTGTAGTAGACCAACAAGGGGTTGGTCTCCAGCGCGTGAATCCGTCTGAATCCCCTTAAGGACGAGCAAAAGACGTTAGGCACAAGCCCGTGTAATAAAACCCCCTCTCTACTACGAGACCATTTCAACTCACTCACCATCGATTTAGGTTGCGCACAAAGGAGGAATAGCGATTTCCCTGAAAGTTTGTGTTCAGAACCGAGCTCTTCTTCAGGTTTGGGAGGTGAATAGCAATCCTTTCACAGGTCTCGCCGTGCCACGAGATGCAGTCTTGGGCTATTCCGTTCTCTAGCACATGCATCAACTTTTCTCCAAAGTTGGTTGGCCGTGGATATGTGCCACCGGCAGGAGGCGCTGCTGCTGCGGCGGCAGGAATAGAGGCGGAAGATATCTGGCCAGCAGCACCTCCCTGCTGACGAGGGTTGCTTTCCCCTTCTTGGTTACCTAACCAACACGCCAGTGCGAGCCGAACGAGGAACAAAAGCGTGAGAAGGTTTGGGGGAATACATGCATGAAAAGGCAAGAATTTGAGCGAGGTAAAAACACACTTCTGGCTGTCGCAGCACTTTCACCTCCGTTGGAGTCGGCCATGGCTGCTACTTCGAGCTCAGGCTACTCTGACTGGCTATCTCCTAGCTAGCTAGCTAGCTGACAGGCCGTTTGAAGATCGCAGATATGTACTGGTATATAGTTGGAAAGACCAAATCAGGGTTCGAAGGTTTTGTGGATTTGTGCGCCTTATGAACGCACATGCTCGATCACTCGAGACAACAAAATAGAGGTTATTGGTCTACTAAAATAACTAGCTAGTCCAGAGGTTGCTCCACTCCGACCTTCTGATTATGGATAATATATTCGGGTTAGCTAGGTAGTAGCCCAGCTACTATCTAGCTAGAGTAGTACTTGCACTGGTTGCTGTCTGACGGCTGTATGTGTGGCTTTGGTCGCTTTCTTGTGGGAAGAAAAGAAGTCAGGGGAGGACATGTGAAACGGCTGTTCGTAGTTTCTCCGAAGATCCGAAAAATGAACGGGACTGGGACACGGAGTTGCAGGAATACGGTATCTCGTTGGAAGGTCTTTGTTAGGATTGAATCGAATCGAATCGAATCTGATAAATAAATTGGACAAATGACACAAAAGAAGACAATAATGATGTAGAAGCTTCTAGATTTCAGTAAAATGACTCAAAGTGGAAGATATGAAGTTTGACCAAATGAGGTACTCCAAAACCCCATTCTCCGCAGCTCCATTCATTCACTCCAACTCTTACCCACAGTTCAGCTTTTCTAAGAGAATTCAGCATTCCGGATTCCAAAATCTGCCTGGTCTTACAGTACAAGCAGTACCAGGTACATAGTGTGCCGTAGTAAGTAGACACTCAGTACGCACGCGGTGGCCAAACCATCACAAAAAGCGATGGACGTGATACTTGATGCCTTCGTCAGCTCCTTCGGCTTCCTGTTCTCTGCGGGGTAGCTAGCTGTTGCAGGTGGTTCTACAAGCTACTACCAGTATTTTAATAAAAAATACATGTATGTGGTGTCACGCATGTGCGTCCCACTGAGTACTATAAACCAGGATACAAGTAGAGCTTAACTAACTAAAAGTACTGAAAACATGTACTGAGTTGAGCTTAACTAACTAAAAGTACTGAAAACATGTACTGAGTATGTAGCTTCTCATCAGTAACATATCCGTAGCTGCTGTGGTACTGAGTTTTGAGGATAACAATAAATAATATGTGGCAATGCAAGCAGAGTACTGTACCGCATAAACTTAATTATCATCTTTCCTGTGATATCGGTGTATTTCTGAGCGAATGAATTGACATCTGCTAGCTATCATAGTTTATGTCTTACCAACTGAGTGAAATGGTCCATTTTTCATACGTTGACGAAAGCTGTTGAAATATACCTTCTTTCGTTCTTGGATTAAAATGAAGATTTTTTTGGTTTCTTTGAAAGCTCTAAAAGATGCTCATATCTGGCAAAAGAGATTCAGCACGGATAAATTGCTTCTGCAGGATTTCAGCTCGGAGTGTCTGCGAAGTTCCTTTATTACGCGACTCGACTCGACTGTCATTCGACTCGACTCAAATCGAGTTTGACTCAAAAACTCAACATGTCCAACATTGTCCAACACCCTGGAAAGAATTGGGCTATCAAGTGATCACCATGGAGGATTGGACAACTCAAGCCTCTTTTACAAAGCCTGTGAGTATGTATGTTAGTTCTAGCTGCTAGCTAGCTAGTTCCATCGAACTGTGTTGCGGTTGCGGTGCAAAACAGGTGTACCGGTACCGGCATAGGTCCTTATTATGGACATAAACGGCGGACAACATGAATGGAAGCCAAGCAATCCTCCAATCTGGAGGTCAGAATGATGGAATCGAATCGAGTCGAACCATCAGATGCTGAGGATGAACAAATGATTGGTTCTTTAGAACGAATCATCATGTCCTAGCCAGCAGCAAGAAGTCTTCTGGCTTTTGGTGGCAGACCGACAGATGATGCTCTTCCAATTTTAAAAAGAACGTGCAAACCAAAGTAGGACCTTTCTTGGGGGGGGGGAGACTCTTTTTAAATAATACCGAGCGCCTGACTCTTCTTCAACAAAAGCTGTTGTTGTCCTGGATATAGACTTGATCTCTGCTGTTGGAGCCCCGAGGAGTTGGTTTATGGTGTACTACCTATGGTTGCTTTCAAAGCATGTCGAGGTGTCGATAAGTGTCTTGGCACGTAGTACTGGGAACCGGGGTCAACGAGGTCCAGTCAATGAGGAATACAAACAAATTGGAATACTCTGGTCTGAAGAGCCAATCATCTAAAGAGTGTTTGGATCGGTCCAGGAGGACAATCTAGAAGCTGGACCAGCCAGGAGCAAGGCAGGTAGTGCCTCGTCTAGCCATCTTAAATGTAGAAGTGGAAGGGACCATGACATTGAGATATCCATCGGGGCGACTGCTCCTTGATAACTTCAGCCGTCGGAGTTAGAGCATGGACGATATTGCTGAGAGATTCGCCAGCACTCAGCTTTCCCGGGGTCAACGAGGCGTAATTGCTCTGCCTGCAAACCGTCCTTGTCAGTAAGCATCAACAGAGATATACGAATGCATACTTCCTCGCTCAGGTCCGACTGCATCAAAGAGCTGTTGATTAATTAAGATCAGACCTAAGAACAAATGACGCCCGTGCAACTTCGATGAGGATTTGACCTGGATTGAATTGCTTGCTAAATATCCACCTTTGCCGCGACAGCAACCACCGCCTATCAACGGAACGGCTCTGACAGTGGTGTTTACAGCAACGCACCCCCACCAATCCTTCTTCGGTAGTACGGAGTATCCCAGGTACCGCATTCCAGCACCATCTGACGCCACGCCTGTCACCAAAGCTACCAGCCACAGCGAACACCCCATGGTACCCCTTCAGTGTCTACAGGCACCCTTACAAAGCAAAGCCACTCCAGCAACAAGCTTTCAGCTCCCTGTACAGCCATGATAACTCTCCCACTCCGGTGACCTAAATAGCCTATATCCAACACCAGCAACCAGCCTCCAAAGGAAAGCAGCAGCCACAACATTTCTCCTGAGCCTCAGTGTAGTCCTTCAATGTCATTTCCAGTGAGACTTCCCACCCAACAATCATCAGAAACACCCCTCTCTCTCCATGGAACCCCTTTATACCCATGCATACCATCCTCACCAGTTCCAGCTACGGTACAGCATTAGTCCCAACACACTGTGTTCACGCAACAACACTCAACATATCAGGCTCTCTCAGCCACGGTCGCTTGTCAGCCCCATTGGGTGACTGGTGGCATCTCATGGAGAAGTTGTCACATTGTAGGTACATAGTGAAGTCTTCTAACGACTACATCATACTACTATAGTAGTACTGTTAGGAAAGAAAATGCTATAGCCTTCTGCTGCTTATTATGGTAATATCTACCTTTGTTTGTTTGGCATAATCTGCAAGAGTGCCAGCTTGGAGGAACCTGCCCGTTCGGAACTGCTTCCACTATTGTTGTTCTTGGTGGTACATGTGGCACCTCGCACTACCTTACGGGGACGAGTGACTCGTTGTATCCGTGCCGCTCGAGCGGGAAGCTTTCGTGTGGGCAAATCCATGGGGAATCGTCGAAGCCGTTCTGAAAAGCTGCTACGTTTTCTGTTGGAGCAAGCTTCCATCACCGCGCCGTTTTCCGTGGTGTCTGTTGTTTCGGTAACGTCCGGTTCGACCTTAGTCTCGTTCTCGGGTTGTGAAGACAAGTGATGATTGCTGGCATCACTGAGCTGTCGTCGTGGCATACGAGGTTTCTGTAGCAGAGACTTTAACGATTGAGTTCGCTTGGAGATGGTCAACAAGTTCTTGCGTTGCTGCTGCAAAAGCAATCGAGACAACGTGGCAGTGGCACTGGAACGCCTCGTTGTGCCGTTGGACTTGCTGCGCGTGGGGGGCATGACGGGTGTATCCGCAGTAGTTCCCAAATCTCGTTGGAGCGGCAAATTCGGGTCACTGTCCCATCGCCAGTCAGGATTCCTGGGGCGCACTACCGAATCAGCATTCGTGTTGTCGTCGTCGTCGGATTCTTCCAAGAGTGTCAGATCAAAGCTGGCGTCGCTTGGGAACTCGCCCGAGTAGAAGGACGACGACGCATCCATTAGAAACGGTGTCGACAGAGATGACACAGACGAAGAGCAATCATCCAAACTATTGCTGTTGTTGTTTCGTAGCCGATTGATCCAGATATTGATAGAACCTCGCTTGGACTGCTTCACGCTGCTGTTGTTGCTGTTGGGGGAAGATGAAGACATCATGGTGCTTGGTATTCAAAGAATCGAGTCTATCTGATCAGGAATTGTGAGCTCGTGTACCAGAGGGTAGTACCTTTGTAGTGCCGTTTTGGATAACTTAGACTTATGAATAAAGAGCTGGTCGTCGTTTGACCAGATAATCTCTTTGGTACTTGGGGCGGCTTATCTATCTGTATGCAGGCAACCCGTTCAAGGCAACGCGACTGGCTCAGTGAGCGGATTTTACAATGTATCACAACAGAGAAACTTGAACGGTTCCCGTTTTTGTTGCTGATGTTGTTTGCTGCTTTGTGAGATGGCAGCACGGCAGCCGAGATTTGCCCCGGGCTTAAACTGGCCTTCAATGGTAAGCAGTATCCGGCAAAGCTACGTTTCGCGAAGCCTGGCTTAAATCTGCCAAGTTTATTTGACACTTTCGTTCAAACAGCCCAGAACCTGGTTCCTGCTTCGGTGTTCGGATGCTCGCATCCTCATTAATTGCTTTTGACTCTTCATGCACTTTTGATGGTGCATCTGATTTAAGAATCATCGTTCTGTTGAACAAAACGCTTTCCGGTACCAGTGGTACAGTACCGGTACCGGTACAAGTTGATGTATGTGTTGGATATTTATGCCTTGATAAGCACCTCTAGTAGGGTCTTCTACAGTACTAGTAGCCTTATTTGCTACAGTACAACAATTGCAAGCAGAAAGTTGAATCTTCTTGGCAATGTTGCCTTGCACAATTAGGTACTCGATGGTCTCCTAAGTCTTATTATTATTGAATTTAGTATAAACCCGATTTTAAGAAAGCAAACCATACTGAGCAGCAATTCCAAACATGCAACCACAGACTGCCCCACAGACTGCATTTGAGATAATTTATTTGCTTCCAGACCTGGATCTGCTGTGGCACAGTAGTCTACCGGTACCTGGTAATACTGATGATTGACAGTCTGCTAGCTAGCTAGCTATCCGAGTAAAGGAACTAGAGCCACTAGGCTGTTGAAATTGCTGTGTTTTCTATTGATGGGCGGCCCAAGTAGACTACCACTGCACTCTCCAGATTAATTTTTGTAATCTAATGAGAGAGTGTGGAGTGTACAAAAGTACTCGACATTTTTGTCAGCTGTTATTAGTGCCCCTTCTTCTCAAAGCAAGGTTGGATATTCCATATGCCTGCAAACCAGGGTGTGGGACTCACATGAAATACACGCTGCGTGTACTCGATGTGAGTACGGGTACTGAGTACTGAGTATACTCAGTACCCATACTCACATGACCTCAGAAAATGTGAGTATTACTCNNNGAACAGCCGCCAGGGATTGCTTTCTTACTGTTTGGTCGCCGACGAAGCGGTACGGGGTTTTGCTTGGGGGTCTATTTAGAAAAACAACCCTCGACCAATGCAAGTCAAGGATGGCCATGGCCAACATGATTTGTTGCGTCCAGCCAGGACCTGCCTTGTTGCCTTGGTTGTTGCTTCGGGAGCTGATCCATTGCGAGGGAATCGAATCATTCATTGAACCAGGTGATAGTGAAACTGTACTTGATTATCACTCTTTTGATATATTGAGTGATGAAATGAGTGAGATGAGCGTTTAGAAGCATCGAAAACCTCTTTGATATTTTGCTGGTGCCGTGGTACCGGTACCGGTACCATAGACTGCACACGCCATGGGCTATTATAATAATAGCTATTTTATAGTGGCCAGCAAAACGCCGGGCACCCCATCTTCTCAACCCTCATCACCGCCCGCCTTCATCAAAGTCAGTCAACCGTACAACAGCGCAACAACAATCGTTCGAACGTAACAGCAACAGAAACAACAACAACAACAGCGCAATAACAACAAGCAACAAGCAACGAGCAACCAACAACGACAACGACAACGACAGCGACAACGACAACGACAACAACAACAGCAACAACAAAAATAACAGCGGAACAACAGCAATCATCATGTCTTCATCTGTTTGGATTCGGCTCTACTACCGGTACAACGGAAAGGATGAACCAGAGGCGCAACCTGTGGAAATCGATCCGATCCCCAAGAATATTGCTGCCTTGGCAGAGGCTGTTAAGGCCAAAATGGCGGAGGAACTCACGCACTGTTCTGCTGCTAAGCTTGTTGTCTACAAGTCAGGAACCACACCCTCTCAGGACTCGGCTTTGAATGTATGGGATCCCGTACCCTCCAATTCTTCGGGGCCGCAGCCTTTGATTGTGGTGGCACCCGGTCCGAAGCAAGCAGATGGTAAGAAGAATTCTAGATTTGGTTCCTTGGTTTGTTGTTGAATTTATTCAAATCATCCTTGGCTAACAATTTGTCTGTCGCTCTTTGATTACCGCCCTTCTCCGCAGACCACACTGATGCTCTTGCCCGAATTGAGAGGAAATTGGATGACATGGCAACTGTTGACGTGCCCATGTCAGAAGCAACATCGCGTTTTGCATCATCATTGCTTGAAGATCTGAAGGTGAAAATTACTGTCCTCTCTCCAAACACAAATCCTGGGGAAGGGAAGGTGCGAACGTATCCTTGGGGGGAGAATGAGCATGAGACAGAGGGACAACCAGGCTGCAAGCAAATCCTAGAGGAAGAGATACTGCCGCTGTTTGTGAATGGCCAGAAGTATGCCTTGTATGATGTGCGCAGTCAGTTGCTTAGACTGAAGGCAGGGAAGCGGAAGTCGAATGGATTTTCTGATCTTGCTGTTGGTCCCCAGACATCGATGAGCTTTGCAGAGACTTCGGCCAAGGATCTAATGCTTTCCTATACAGATGCACTTGTGGAGCTCAAACGGGCAAAATCAGACCTTAAGCCAGGGCCGCTGCTCCTGCGATTGGTCTCTCTCTCTGAAGTCTCTGAGAACGGTCAAGGTGTTGTTGTGTTGGGCACCGACTGTGCAACAAAGTGGCGATTGCTGCATTTTTCAGACTACAACAGGATCATGGTGCAGCCCTACACAGACGGGAAAAAATGCATTGCTGATTTCAAGACCCTAATGGAGAAATGTACGATGAGAAAGGGAGCTAATGTGCCCCCTGAAAAATCGGCTACCATCCATGAAGACACTGGTGTGGAAAATGAAATTGAAATGGCAGAGTTCGGGATCAAAGAAACTGCCAAAGACGGTGCAATCGCTCGGGAAACAAAGCTTAGAAAGTTTGCCAGTGCCTTGGAATATTGTTATGGTGAAACATTAGAAGTTCCTGCTTGGGCGAAAGCATCAGAAAGCTGCCGCTCATACTTCGTGTGAAGCAGGTGTGGGATTTTGAAGAAGATTATGTCATCCAAGGGATTAATTAAAAGGTCGAATCAATACATCTTCGCGAAGCCTTGCGTGGTGCAGCATCAATCTTGTTGAATAAAACTAAGCTTGTGTATCTCAAGTCATGGTTGTGGTCTCTTACACACTCTCTCTAGATGCATCCAAACCTCGTCTTTGTAAAAAATAAGAAGACCAGGGAGGACCCGAGGGGGTAAGGGGGTAAGCAAAGCGCGTGAAGCCATCATAACCTTAACACAAAAAATTAAGGTTATGAATATGGCGAAACTATTATTACCCCCTTCAGGTCCCCTGGTCCCCCTACTATTTTTTCTATAGTAAATGACTATTTTGGGGGACCGGGGGACCGGTATTAAGTGTAATCAAGCTGAAGAGTTAAAGAACGACACTCAAAGCGTCGATTCACTGTGGTCCCCCGGTCCCCCTTTATATCCAGCCTAGCGGCGACTGAGCCTCTATCTCTCCAAGGACCAGGGAGCCTTCCAAACTCAAACCCTCCCAACTCAAACCCTCCCAACTGCAGCCAAGCGGCGATTGAGTCTACCAACCTGCAGCCCCGCCCAAACTTGAACTCTAGCATATTACTTTTTATCAACTTCATACCATCTAGTCGGCATCAAATCCATTCAATTGATCAACTTCATACCAATTCGTATTTTAGAGCTCTCACTTTTTGCTGCATTCGATAGATTGCATGTAGTACTTCATTCATTTTTTCCCCCTTTAAGATGCCAGGACTAGGCCCACGAGTAAAGCATTGGAATTTTGTGTTCGAAAGACACACACCTGCAGATGTAGACCGTCTTTTTGCCCACCATGATAGAAGACATAAGAATTCTAATCTTCAAACCTCAGCTGCGAGGAACTGTGAGTTTCGTTTCCCGCAAGAGACTTTCACAGGTGCTAACCATTATTGGTCGCGCAGATTGTTGTCCTGCAAGAAAACCTAAAGCAAAACCAACCGCCATCTCTGCAGCAGCTCCAGTAACAGTCATCCCTATTGCTATCTTCATACCCATGTGGTCCCGCTCCAAGGCTTTCCCAATATTTTCAGAGGAGCGATGAAAGTAGTTACTGCAATTGATTCGAAGACCGACACGGTACACAGATACGTCGACAATGGCGTCTTCCTCGATGGAAGGGCAAAAAATCAACACCTTAGGACAACACCCGGCCGCACCAATCAAAGACAAGAAATCCAAAGACTCGAGAGACAAGAAATCCAAGGACAAAGACTCGAAAGAAAACCATAGCATTACGAGTTTCTGCATTAAAGAAGATTTTCAATATAACAAATGGATGGAACGTTGATTAAGACTCGATGATTGTTGATGCAGCAGGGACTGATAGATCCAGGCGTTCACATAGGCGAAGCCTTGTATTCTTGAGATTCTTGATTTGGATTAGATCACAGCTTGACATGCTAATTAACATACAGCCTTGGATCGTTACCGGCTGGCCAAGTTCTATGTTGTCATCGTCGAATTCTTGGATGGTGTAGCTTGGAAACCATGACCGTACATTGACTTCCTCATCTTCTTGGATAAGGCAGCATAACTGCAAGTAGCCATGCCTATGGTGGTACGCAACGAAGGCTTCGGTTACAAATCCCTGTCGCGTAAACTCCACCATTGTCCCATAATCTGATAGAGTGGCACATGAGCTAGTTATGAGAAACATTGGACTTATACATTGAAATAAGTGAGACCATGATGAACGATTATACTATAGCTGATGGGGTTCCTATGTGTTTGGAAGATATGCATAGTTATCTACAAGAGTATTATGGCATCCCAATTGTGTTGAGACGACAGGGAGATACCAAGATCAAATGCCCTTATTGCGGTAAAATGCACGACCATCCTGAGGGCTCTGGACATCATGAGACTCAATGCGATAACGATGATCAGTATAACGCAGGGATTGTTGTCGGTGGCAGATCCTTTGTTCCTAACTATGGGTATACTATAGTTGAATACCTTGAGAAGGATGGTGCTAACCAGATTATCCCTATCGATTAGACTTCAATCGTACTCGTCCTTCTCCTCATCTGATAAATCCCTCCACATCTCTCCCAAGAGCCTTCCAAGCTCTCCAAACGATAGATCAGGGTTCTCTTCTTTAACCTAATCAAAATGCTCTTTTACAAACAGCATATATCCCCTCAGTTTCTTCTTACATGCACAAGTCTCCTTTCCCATGGTCGTCTTGTTTTATGACACCAATCGCTAAGCTGATGCACCGATTACCTTCCTAGTATCCGTAAGCCTTTGACTGATTACCTTCCGAGTATCCGTAAGTCTAAGACTGACGTACGAGCTGGTTTATACCAGTGACTCACCGCTGAGTGTCAACCAGCGCATGCTGGGTTAATCGTTCGTCAATACCTAAACATATGCATACTCCTAGCGGGTAACTCCTCTTAGTGTCCCCGCACCATTTTCTGGATCGGTCTGACAGAAATCGGATATATTAAATATCATAGCTAATGCATTAAGTAGTAAGGAAGTCGTTCAGTCCTGTGAAATTGGGTCTACTTAGAGAACAACCATTTTAGAGATGGTCGATCGCTAAATTACATAGAGAAGAGAAGATCCTCTTATACAAACCTGGAAGCAAGAATAAATGGTCACTTTTTTGGTCGATCAGGATTCTACTTAGGCCCAAAAATGGTCTTTTCCGGCGTCGATCCAGATCTAAGAGGAACACCAAATTGATCTTAGGCTATTTAGATTGTACTACATCACTATAATGTTCTTTTTCCGAACACCACAGTACACATTTGTGTACGAACGGGATAAACAAGTCACACTTTTGCATCGAGATTTCTGCATGCATGATTTCACTGGGTAACAAATTGTGGCCATTTAGAAACGGAGGTTTCCAAACCTGCCAGTTCGAGTACCGGGGGGATCGGATCATTTATGGTCGGACCACTGGGACCTCCATTACGACGTTCCCATTCCCTTTCAAGCTGCTCATTGCGTTCTTGTTCAAGCTTTTCAAGACGCGCAACTTCAAGCTGCTGTTGCCGGAGAAGTGCCTGTCGCTCTTTTTCCGTGATCTTGGCCTTAGTCAAGGCAGAAATTCGATGCTTCCTGGAACCACTTGGAGCAACTCCATATCCAGGACCGGTCAAATCTGCGACATCAATGGTGACACCACTGGGAACTGAGTCGCCGTGAACACCAAACTCAGCCCTGGATCGACCACCATTATTTATGACATTGTTGTGGACAGTGACATGGGGGGAACTGTCGGTCCTGTTTCCACCTGCATAGACACGGGGTTGATTTTGGTTGCTACCACCGCTGTTGGATGGAGTGTAGTTGTTACCGCTGTTAGAAGGTTGATAGTGGTTACGAAAAGGACCTTCTGGACCACCACTGCCATGACCACCACCACCACGACCACCACCACCACGGCCTCCACGTGCATAAGGATTAGGGGTGTTAGTACGGGGGCGATTACAACGATTATGGGGGCACTGCTCCAAAATAGTCTTAATGTCATCCATTTTGACACTTAATTCACGGATCGCCACTATGACGTCTTTGTGCTTCTCATCCTGTTCATTCAAATGACGAAGAAGCTGATCCTGATTATCAGCTACTTCCGAGTGACCCTCTCGAACCACCTTTGTTAGAACCTTCATTTTACGTGTTAAATGATTGCGCCCCAACTGCCCATCATTGCGGACTTCCAAACCAAGAGTCTCAACTGTAGATTTAAGCGACAAGCCTCTATTAGGGGGGAGCTTTCTTTGTTGTGGTGACATTAGACGAGTCAACCACCGCAGGAAACTTTTTTGCTTCACTATTAGAGTGCGAAGTGTCATTGTTCCAATAATCAGTAGTAGTAGTGGTACGTTCTACTGGCTTCTCAGCCACACCACCACCGGTTTTAAGATAATCGGCGTAGTGGCCAGCCCTATGGGCACAATCCTTGGCTCTTTTTGCAGCTTTTTTCTTACGTACGTCATTCACTTGGTTGTCGAAATCATCCTCGTCCTCATCATCATCAGAGTCATCACTGCTGGGCAACTGTGTTGGAAGAAGAAGAGGATCCGGAGCTTCGGCATCATCTACAGTCCCACCTTGGGTTGGTGTGTAGTTGGGTAGAAAGGCTGATTCATTGAGTTGGGAGGAGGAGGCAACATTTTCCTCCTCGCTTTCAACAGTTTCCACAGTGTACTGGGGCATCTTTCTCAAAAATGTGAGCTGATGGTAAAGTAAAAAGAGAGGGGTACGGTGGAGGAAATGGTGGGAGTTTTAAATTTTAAATCTAGTCTGCCGGATTGATCTACATGCATTACAGTTGTCCCAATCGCCCTCAGTGCCACTCGCGCGGTGCATCTTGGCCGTCTCGGCATCCCATTGTCGCCCTCCCAGACACCCATGTTTGCTTTCTTAGATCAGATTGGCATGTTCAAATATAATAGCTGTCCTGTGAAATTCAAAATGTGGGCGGGGAATCCATTGCCTCCAATCCGGTTCCTTCTCACTTTTTTGCCAGTGAAACAACTGTCGCCAAATCATGGCCTCCATTGTCTCCGATGACACTTCCACCACCAATGGCGATGGCGATCGCCAACCCACTGTTTTTCCTGCTACGGAGAGTGTCGCCAATGGGTCACTCGCTCAATTGAGCTACCGTAATCTTAATAAGCAAACTGGCATTCCACCGCTAAAAGATTTGGAAGCAGCTTTTGCGAGTGAACAGGCGACATTTGAGTATCTTGTAAGTCAGGGAGCAGTCAAACCTCCAACCGATTGTCCCAGGTGCAGTATTAAGCTAAGCAAAGTGCAGTTTAAAGGTCCAAACGGTACTCCAGTTCTTCGTTGCAGAAGAAGAGAATGCGAAAGTGCCCATGGGAGCGAATGGCGTCAGTCGGTATATAATGGAACCTTTTTCGATGAAGTACGTGGCGGAAGGAGGCACGGCTTAAGTTTCTTTACTATTGGATTAGTGGTTCTTCGCATCAGCAGATAGCTGTTTTCCTTGGGTGGTCTAAGTCCTAAACAACCTTTTGGCTCAAGTTCATTCGCGAACTGGTAGGGGCTATTGTCACACATGACAGTGGTCAAATCGGTGGCGAAGGCATTGTGGTTGAAATAGACGAATCTAAGTTCGGGAAACGTAAGTACGATAGACATTCCGGTGACCACAAGTGGGCTATTTAACTAATGCTTTGCAGGCAAGTACAACCGTGGTCATAGAGTGGAGGGTTCTTGGGTGTTCGGTGGAGTGGAGAACACGGAGGCCAGAAAGTACTTTGCTGTAGTGGTGGACAAAAGGGACACTGGCACTCTAATTCCTTTAATTATAAAGTTTATTGCCCCTGGTTCTATCATTCGAAGTGACTGTTGGGGGGCTTATAATGGTATTGAAGATGTCGAAATTGATGCTGGTTATGGCTACACAATGCCTATTTATGAGCATCAGCGAGTCAATCATGAGGCTGGCTTCAAGAACCCAGTAACTGGTGTGCACACGAACACTATAGAAGGCACCTGGTTCGCCATGAAGCGACTGGTTCATGAAAGGAAGCGCAACAAGAAGCAACTTCAAGGTTGCTTATTTGAATTCATTTGGCGACGTGACAATGATAGTGACCTCTGGCGGCAACTGATGATCGCTCTCGCCGGTGTCTACTATGGTTGATTATAGTGAGCATTTTCCGGGGAAAAATGAGATACTCTGGGTCAAGTCACCCTTTTTTGCCGGGTTCTGTTAGGCTAATCAGCGAGTACTCTGTGATCTACAGTGTTTTTTTTTACACCTTTCTGTTTGGCGATGGCACGTGCCGGCACGAGCCCTACTGTTTGTGACACGGTGGACGATTCTTATTTGGATACCCTAATAAATACTAGCAATTTGTTACCCCGTACGACCATACATTTTACAATCTGAGTGAAATCGCAGGTTTGTATAAGGGACCACGAATTCTGGGGAACGACCAAAGAAACAACCAAATCCGGCTACTAAGTACCGTGGTCACTCTCCTAATTACTTTAGTCGCTGTTGTATGTAATTCTTTATTCGATGTAAGGTGCTGAGTATAATCAATGTTCCAGAATTCTGAAAGACCGATCCAGAAAATGGTACGGGGGACACTACAAGGAGAAGTCCCTCTTAGCTTGGGTGTAGGAACTCTAGGAAGTACCGATTCTTCGAGTTTCTAATAACGTCTTTCTTCCTAAAACGTTAGGGAAGCTCGTTCCCATTGAGGACTCCTTAGTGACTGAAGCTGGTTCAGGAACCACCAACCTTTTCCCATCCTGAAGCAGCACAAACAGGAGGAGACTGACATCATTGCGGAAGATGCCAAAATCATTTTCTTCTTCGCGTCAGAAGCAGCGAAGCGAAGCAGCTCATCAGCTCATCAGCCATGCTCCCATCATGAGATCACCTTGGTTTGGTTGCCACAAAATCGTAGGTTGCCAATACGAATGGTACCAATTCTCGTCATCGGTGTAGGTTTCATTAAAACATCACAGTTAGTTTTCGAGCACGTTTCTTGCCAAAAGCAGCAGCTTCAGGACCATTCCCCACAGTGGGAAATTTGCATCGCAAGAAGACGAACGAGCCATCGATCTACTATACCGTATCGAACTGGTGGTGCGTTCAGTGATTCTCGATTGATTCCTGGCTACAACCATCCGCGCAGACTCAGTTTTTCGAAAACCATCCAACGCGAGAAGCACCAAATACAATCCACACACGATGCTACCATCTTCCTTGGTAGCGCTGCTATCGTCAGCAGCAATCCTGTCATTCATGGCCGGCCCAACTTTGGGTGCTACCGACTTCATTGACTGCAACAGTCCTTGTAATGGTGGAGACGCCAACTATGAATTGACAGCTAGTATACGCACCATGCCAATGATGAACTATACATACAAGGGGCGAACTTACAGTCGAGAAGGTGATGATACATTCATGGGTCCTACCATGCGAGTGGCTCCTGGTCAATCCTTGTGGATCAAGCTCCGCAATGAAATACCAATGGATCTGAACCCCAAACAAGTGGAGATTGAAGAATACTGGGAAATGCTCAAGAAACCAGGGGAGAAAATCAAGTATCAGTACTACAAGGAACCTGTTTCCAAACCAGAATACATGAAGGTTGATCATCCCAACATTCCACATAATTTTGATGCCACCAATTTGCATCTACATGGGTTGGATGTCGAAGTGCACATGTTTGATCCCGTCAACACACACAATCCCGATGCCCCACATATATCCATTGAGCCTGGCCAGTGTTATTGCTACAGATTCAACGTCCCCCACCATCACCCCGGTGGCATGTACTGGTACCATCCTCATTTGCACGGATCAACAGCACTCCAAATGTGGGGCGGTATGCTGGGAGTGTTCTATGTTGATGGTCCCTTGGAGGACGAAATGGCAGCTTTTGGGGTTTCCAATGTCCATGAATTTGTTATTTGGGATCCGGCCTTGCGGGCTGTACACAATGAACCCAGTCACAATCTCGAAGTGGACCGCTTCTTGTTGGGACAAACCACACTCAGTAAAATCCATCCCTTCTTGGTCAATGGAAAATACAATCCCACCTTCACCACTGCTGCCGGACAAGTCTTGTGGTTAAGATCCTTGTGTGCCACTGTGGAAAATGAAAACACATTTATCGTCTATCGTCAAGGTGAAGAAGACCAACCTTGGGATGATGCTGCAATTCCTTTTTGGGTTGTTGGCAGTGATGGAGTGACATACCAGAAACCACAACAAAAGCATATTCTTGTCATGGCTGGAGCGCAACGAGAAGAGATTCTACTTCAGTTTGAGGAACCAGGGACCTATGTGATTAGTCAACAAGGCATTGAAGGAATGCAATTTTTTGACATGTATGGGCATCCACATAATCAAATCTTGGCCACCATTGTGGTCCATGAGCTGGAAGCTGAGAAGTCCTCCCTGCTACCCAACAAACCCATTACAGACATGCGATTCACACCTGGATACGATCCTGGTGAAGATATCCAAGCGCATGACATCGCCAAGACTGAAACCATAGTCTTCACAATGGGTGCAAATCGTGACCAGGCACCCTTCCCACAGTACTATGTCAATGGCAAATCCTTTGCACCAGACCGGATTGACTTTTTTGCCCATCCTGGTGAGGCTGTCGAATACATTCTCATCAATGGCAATCACAATGTGCATCCCTTTCATATCCATGTCAATCGATTTCAAATACAGGAAATGGGATCAGAGCTATCTACAGAAACGTATCCTGTCTTAAAGCATGTCATGGAATTTGACCCTTCTGTTTGGCGGGATACAGTTGTTGTCCCTCCCAACGGGCGAGCAAGGATATGGGTTCAATACAAGAATTATACCGGCAAAACAGTCTTTCAGTAAGTATATGAACTGGCAAGTTAACTGTGATGATTCTGATGATGTGCTCATGGCTTGTCACTCCCTACAGTTGTCATTTTTTGGCGCATGAAGATACAGGCATGATGTCTACCCTCTTTATTGGCCCACCTGATTATGTCTTTCGGTTGGAGGAGAATTTGCCTCTTCTAATCGGTGTGGCAGTTGGAATGGTGTTTGCTGGAGTAATCTTTGTGGTGATGGGTTGTAGAAATGGTGACCAACAGACAGTGTATCGACCTGTGGCAACCATGAATGAACTCAAGGTGAAGGCACAGGACTGAGAAGGGTTCCAAGGAGGATGTCCCATTGACTGATGAGATAGCTAGGAAGCAAATAATGTGGCACAATGAGGGAGCGGCCATTTTGGTGCTAACTCGTTTGTTTAGCCTCAGTTGAACGGAAACCATGCTGTTCAATGCGTCCCACACCGCTACCACTAATTCTTAGTTAGAACAAGGAAAGCCGTGTTCTCTCAGCTCGACTCTGACTCGACTTTTTCCGTGTAAATCCTGTTGATTTCACGGAAATGTTTCCTTTGCTTATGGCTGGGTTGAAGACTTCCGTGAAGCTCACTGTTGTTTCACGGAAAAACGCCCGTGGAAAGAACGCCATCTCTGCCGAACCTAGCATTTCCGTCAAATGCTGTTAATTTCACGAAACATTTTCTTTTCATTCACTCGATTTCCGTAAAACTATTGCTGTTTCACAGAACTAAACCGCGAAACTAACTCATTCCGTGAAAGTAAAAAAGGGGTTTTAGAACTAATTCTATGCAACTGCCGTGCAGTATGTAAGACACAAACAGCTTTGTCAGTGAAAGCTTTATTCTCAACCCAAGATGGTGGGAACAGCCTTCTGCCGGCACAGGTGTGCGTCAACAAACGCTACCAGCAACTTTTCCAGCTCCCCACTCCCCACTCCTTTGCCACAGCCGGAGCAGTGCTGTTGTCAACGATGTTAAGGCCAGCGGCAGCCCTTCTTGGTAGTCTGCAAAGACAACGAAAGCTCCCATTTGGCAGCGATTGCTACCGACATTGGCGGTATCTCCCTTGCTCCCTTGGAATCAACCGTGGCTGCGTCAGAAATGTTGTGACTCTGTTAGAAGAACCTCCGTTGGACTCTCCGATTCCGGAGCGTCCTTGTACGGTTGCCTTGGTACAAGACAGCTTGTATGGTCCTGCTTCAACATCATTGTGGAAGGCACAACTGCGATCATTGGTTCCCACGGAGTTTGGCATGTCTTTTGCAAACCTCGATCTTAGTCACGAACAGGAGAAACAACAAGGTTTGCTTGCATTGGATGCTCTTCAGAGCGACCTATTGCAAATGGAGACTCCGCAAGTCGTCCTGATTGCTAGAGGGCCACTTGTGTCTTGGTGGGCCCAGCTTTACTTGGAATCGTTCTCCTTGGCGGGCCTCGTGCTGGTGGATCCATTAGTGCCTGTTGGAGATACCGGTATGGGGACTGTTATTGACGCTGACGCTGCCACCAACCAAGCTTTTCAATATGTCGCGGACGAAGCTCGCAAGAATGGCAGTTCCAATTATCTGCAAAATATCTCATCGCTCTTCTTCTCCAAGAAACGTCAAAGAGGTCTCTTACTCGAACCGGGGGCGGTTCCAATGATGGTGCTTTCCACGCATCCCTTCCTCTCTGAACCGGCTCAACAAACCGCGGAAAGACACCGAATAGTTTATGACGGACAGGACAGAGAAGATCCTAGCAACCCGATGTTTCACCTTGGAGATGTCCCTGTCATAAGCATGGATTTGGGGGAAGACAACGCTGGAGGGAGCAGAGTCGACCCTCTGCAGCAATGCTTTCGTGATACCATTGGCCCTTGGATCGAGAATCAAGTGCTGTAGGCAGCAAGGACGACATCCGTGTGAGAATCATAGATATATAACGACGCACCCAAGCAAAGATACCAATTCATTCCAAACCCCAAAGTTAAAGAACAGAACTCGAGCCTGGGAGCAGCAAGAGAAATTTAGCCGAAACACAATCGTCGACATGAGCTCGGGCGCACCGCTATGGACAACGGTGAAGACCGAATGACAACTGCGTTGTGAACCAGAAGCCGAAACCGCTTTCTAAAGTTGCATGCGAGCTTGTTGATCAAGACTAGAAAGGCCACTGAAACAACCGAGGCAATGAACGGAAGCCTGGTTCTTTTGACTTGAGAGTGAAGAGAGCGTGGGAAGTTTGAGGTGGGCTGTCCCACTATTGGACGTGATATTCACCGGTACAGAGATAGTCTTGGTTGCTTCCTTCCCTCTGATTTGTTTGTCAATCTTGTGCTGGTACCGTACCGTTCGGTAGACGGTAGACAGATATCGGAAGTGGTTTCCGCCTCCAAAGAGATTTCCAGCGGAAGTACCAGATGCCAGGCCCCTAACTGTCTTACATAAAGGGCCATTGGATCTCAGCTGCGTCAGCACTCATGACTGGCGTATGTGGGCTGATGTGCCAGTTTCCAAAAAAGGTGGCTTGCACTATAAGCAGAACTGCCGTGGAATGGCTCTTGTCAGCGTTTGATGCGAAGACCTAGACAATTCCATTACTTGTCCATTGTCCATTTGGCAAAGAATCGAGTGCAAGGCACTTTAGTTGGCCTTTGCCTGTTCTGCGGCCTTTCGACGACTGTTAAGTTTATTGTTGTCGCCGTTCTCGTAACGGTATTCAAACTCATCTAAATGCACCGTGGATTTATCAAACACTTGCTTCTTCTGCGGTCTAATAGGTGGCTGTTATATCCATTGTTCTCGCAACGGCATATGGCCTTTCACCGGCGGCATCCTACACTTATGGTATTTTTTGAATTTCACGGTGGATTCAATTCATTTTCTAATACAGTTTCCATTCAGTTCCGTGAGGACTGTTCTCTGAAGAAAACGGAGCTGTGTTCTGCACGTGCGTGGCATCCAGTGTTGAACTCTTGACTACTCAACTGACACTAGCTAGCCAGCATCGCAACTTTGATGACGCCCTCTTGTTAAGCAGTGGAAAGCCTTATGAGTACTAAATTGTTGGACAACAACCCTTTTCTCGTAAGATTTCAACGTAATAATCCTCAGACACCGCAGAATTGCCTTTCTTATCCGTAGAACTGTTTATCTGCGGTATCCCAATGTATATCTGACGCCAGACAGGCTTCACCAGACAGGTACTGCCGGCGCTACACTAGTGTACACTGACAGTCTTTGGTGGTCATTTCATCTTAGAAGCTTGCCACGTAAGCTTCTCTACCAAATTAGTACTAAGTAAGGGGGATAGTGTAAACAAAGCGACACCGTAAGTTTATTTAGTGTGAGATTTCAGTACCTGGACCTCCATGCAATCTTTCTTTGTTCTTTTTCGAAATCACTCCTCACGAACGTGGGGGTGTCGAGGATTGCCTCGTTCATCACAGCAGTCACAGCACACTCTATTCTTGCCTTTTTCCATCGGCCCCAACTGTCGCTCCTTTTTACTTGGATTATAATCTGAAGGTTTGCGATTGTACACGCCGAGAGAAAGGAAGAGAGAAAAGAGAATTTGCTATGATGGACGGCAGTCAAGAGGCTAGTAGACGAGATGAAGAGGACAAGGAAGAGGAAATAAAACAGGACGATAAGAGCGATAAGAGCAAAGCCAAAAAGCCCGCAAGCGCTAAGAGGCAGTCTTCATCGGAGGACGGTAAGTGAAATTAGTGGTGGTTGCCATACGGTAGCCCTGGATGGAGGTATCTCAAGCCAAACCATTGTTCCCTTTCAAACAACTAGAAGAGCAACCCCCAGAAAAGAAGGCAAAGAAACGGAGCGACGATGACGCTGAAGATGCCAAGCCGGCGGCAGCCAAGAAGAAGTCGAGTGCACCGAGTGTGGGGACTTATCCCAAGCCTAAAAACTTCGCCGAGAGAATGATGAACGTCCTCGAGAACAATGTCGACCCTAAGGTGGTTAAATGGCATGGAGAAGAAGATCTTATAGCCATCAACACCAAATCGCTAAAGACTAGTGAAATCTTGGATGATCGTTTCCAGGGTATCCGATACGCGGCTTTTATCAGAAACTTGTCCAGGTGGTAAGGGGTGTCCAGTTGACATTGCTTGATTCAGAAGATGGTTCTCTATGGACAGATAACGGGGGTGCACTTTTTGGGCTGCTTAATCTCACTCTGTTTTGATGCTCCTCGTTTCCGTTGTACCGATGCATCCAGGGGGTTTCGTAAGGTACCCAAACTCGAGGCCGAGGATGGCGTGGTCGTATACCGCAACAGCCTCTTCCAGCGAGAAAACCCCCATCTCGTCCGGCACATGAAGATTGACAGTGATGTCCAAGACATCTTTGGGCAACACCAGCGTTCGTCCTATCAGCGAGCTTCTGCCGCTGTTCCACAGCCCCCACAACCCCCCGCTGCACCTCCGCAACCGCAGGCAGGGGGGTTGGTTCTTCAAGGGGACTCCCTGAACCTGCTCGCCCAGTTGATCACCCAGCAGAACCAACCGCAGCAGCGTCATGCCCCACAAGCCAATCATGCCCTGGAATCGCAACTGCAAAGTCTGCAGGCAGCCCTATCGGGCCAGGTCGTCCCGGCTCCAACAAGACGTACCCCCCAAGTTATCCTTGAGGAAATTGTCGGCCTCTCGAAGGAGTATCTGGAAGCGGTTCCATCTACCGCAGGGAATCCGGGAGAAGAATCCATAAATGCGCTTCTAACGCTCGTTGTTGGCTTGGGGACGGAACAGATTCGAGCTCGGGAACCGGAGGGAATGTCACCCCCAGGATCGATGGACGCCCCTGCACCTCAACCGCAGCAGGTTTCAAGTTCGAACCCTTTGCTTCAGGAGCTTTTGTTGTCGGTTGGGCAGTCGCAAAACCAGCAACCGCCGCCGGCTGCTGCGGCTGCTCCTCCTCCACCTCCTGTTTTTCCTGGTGCCGGGGTGGGGTCTTCAGACTCTGTGTTGCGACAACTGCAACAACAACAGCAGCAACAGAATCGCGCCGCCTTGCCTGCGCACCTCTTGGGCCCGCAAGCGGATATTCAAAGCATATTGGCCCAAGCAGCGGGGATCAGTTCGCTGAATGGGGCACCCCTGTCGCCGCAGTTGTTGCTGCAACTGCAGCACCAGCATCAGCAACAACAACAGCAGCAGAATCAGGGGAATCCCAACCTACCTTCTCCTCCTGGAGACAACTGTCGTCAGTCGTGAGTTGTTGTCTCTATCTAGGGGCCCATGTCAAACATGGAGTGGTCGTCGCCCCACGCCTAATCGGCAATTAGGATGGGCGATGAATCCAACGTAACGTATCAGTCTATACATGTTCTCTGTCTTTACGCGTATTGCGGATAGCAACTCGTAGTTTCTCGTTTTGTTCTCCGTTGAATCGACCGCCCGTTGTCCCTTCTACGAACCTTTTTGTGCGTGGCTCGTCTCGGCTCGTGTACTCGTCTTCGCACTAGTAGCCCTACGGGACAGAGAATACACCCCGAACGATAATTTCTGCCTGTCCCGAGCTTCTAGTTGATGGTTCCTTTGTTTCATGACGCAGCTGCAATCTCGTTATAGCTAGCTGCCTGCCTGACTAGCTGCATGGTTTCGTGTTGTACGATCTTTTACCTTGCATCCGTTGTCTTTCAATGGAGCTAATTGAAGTTTATTGTGCCTCGAATGGGACTCCCCTTCTTTCTTCGCCTTGGCATTGATTGGGTTCTTGGTCGTGCAACTGGCTCCCACGCCTGGGAAACCATTTTTATAACAAGACGAAAATTCTAACAATGATGTTATTACCGCTCTACCAAATCAATGGGTTTGATTTCTTCCCCTTTTCTTCACTGCCACGACGCTGGATCCTCAAAAAAAACTTATTGAGATAATGAATTTCTCTTTTTTGAGTTCTAGTAGGGCTGTGCTTGTGCTCGGTGCTGCCCCCGATATGTTCGTGATACCTCGATTGGATTGAATCGCAGGCGACCACGAGCGGTGGAATCGCAAGCGTGGCAATTAGCCTCGCCTGCCTCCAACTGAGAAGTGTATCATCAAAGCAGCAGGCGACACAGCTAGTACAGTTTGCTAAGTTTGTTAAGTTTGTTCACTTTTCTTGCAGCTAATTTCACTACTTGCATAAAACTGTCACCACGCACTAACTCTCATCATGGGCACATACAGTACTCAGTATATAGAACTGCAATGTACATACATCAAGCCACTTGGTTTGTTTCATAGTTTGGATAGATTCTCATCAAAGTCGGCGGCATCGTGACGTTCTTCCAATTGCTCGTGTTCTTCTCCCCAACGTTTGTTGACCATGCTACCTCGAATCACGGCCGGCCTGCCGGCAACGTGTTGGGCCCATCGCACCACATTGGGGTATTCCTCCTTGGCATTCAAAAAGACATCGGCATCCGGATACCCCTTTCCTAGAACAAGAGTTCCGTACCATGGGTAAATGGCAATATCCGCCAACGTATAGTCGTCCCCCAACAGGTACGTTTTGTTGTTTTCTGCCAGCTGCCGTTCGAGAACATCTAATTGTCGTTTAATTTCCATGGTGAATCGATCAATGGGGTATTTCATCTTGTAGGGAGCGTAATGATAAAAGTGCCCAAAGCCGCCACCCAGATACGGACTGCACAGGCAAAGCAAAACAAGCAAAGGAACCAGAGAAACAGGTCAGATACTGATCATTTTCCACAGTTTTGATGGATGGATGGATTGTACTTACGCAGCCCCCATTTGCCAAAAGAGCCAATTCAAGACTTCACTGCGCAATTCGGGTGGACAAAATGTGTTGTTGAATTTTTCCGAGAGTTGCAATAGAATGGATCCCGACTCGAACATGCGCGTGTTGGTGGTGGTATCGAGCAATGCGGGAATTTTGGAGTTTGGATTGAGTGTCACAAATCCACTTCCAAATTGCTCTCCTTCTCCAATATTAATGTAAAAGGCATCGTATTCGGCTTCTTTGACACCCGCCTCTAACAATTCTTCCAGCAGAATCGTCACCTTGACTCCATTGGGCGTCCCCATGCTGTAGAGTTGCAAGGGATGTTTGCCTCGGGGTAACTCTTGTTCGTGACGAGCCCCGGCAGTGGGACGGTTGATACCGGACCACTTGCCTCCATTGGCACCCTCTTGTTTCCACACTTTGGGAAGGACGTATTCGTTTTTCGACGCAGCTTCGGCTGAACCACTGGTAGTACTCATGGTTCGAAGGAGCGATAGTCCAAGCGAGGAGCGAACTGAATGGGTAAAAGTAAAGGCGGATGTGCTGCAAGAGGGAAAGGCTATCAAGTTGAGGGCTGAAACAGCACGACGAAAACGCATTCAATCAGATACGTGTGCAAGAACAAGAGAATGAAGGAACGGATGTGTTGTATGTTTTAGCTCGCTCTGTTTGTTGATGTGGGATCTTCTTTTTGATTTTTGTGAGACGAAACTGATAACGGCAAAAGATGAGCTGATTTCTCGGCGAAGTACCGGTGTTATTTTTTTGATGAGTTCGCGCGAACTGGTGTTGGACGTTGGACTTTGCTGGAACTTGGCCGACGCCTCCATTATGTTCGTACTGCCCGAGCAGACTTTGTAGTACGACTGACTTCTACTAATCAAGCGAGTATAACCGTAAGATCTCACTGATTCGTCTAACGCTCTTGTTTCTATGCGTGATACAAACCGGTACCAGTACCGTACCACCATACCGGTAGTACGGTACAGTGTACCCTACGGTGCGGTCATCTAGTGAAAGCATGGTGCAAACGCCACTCTGCTTCTTTAACTAAGTTGATCTCATCGCCAGCAGAGCTGAAAGAGGCAACCAGGGTGGGTACCGGTTCTAGCGTTCTGGCTGGCTGTAGTACGTACCTATGCTGGTACGAACCGAAACAGAGACCACCTGCACGTACCGGTACCATACCTTTGCTCCACCGCCACCTTTTCCGTGTGTACTACCGTCCACTCGACTGTCACTCAGACACTCAAATTTGAGCCTGCTCCAAGTCCTTTCAAGCTACCGCACCATAGCTAAACATGCCCTCTGAGGACTGATGGCCAAATGGAAACGAGGCGTTGTTGAATTGCTTTTTGCTCCAAGCAACAAGCTTCTTTCGTACGTTCCAATTTGACTTCCTCCACGACTATGCATATGCATATCCCGTAGCCAGTTGCCTTGCTTTACCTACCTTACTAGCTAGCCAGCATGCAAATAAGTTGATGGATCAGCGCGAGTCAATATGACATGGTTTGTTCGGTCTTACCCCCCCCCCCAGCTCTTCCAGCTCTCTGTGATGGCTGTACTGGTCCTTCAGCGTTCCACATGCTTTGGATTCAAACGTGGCGGCTTAATCATCCGTCGCCATAATGAAATCGCAATGAACTTGTTCTATTGCGTGTGAATGCTTTGTTCCTCTAGCGTCCAGTCGAACCCCCCTTCCATCTGTTCCCGCCCCTACTATCCCTGCCGTCACCCAATTCCACCTTACCTCCCCTTCCTCCCCCCTTCAATCCCCCTCCAGCCCCCGAGCTCTTAACGGTGATCTTGCCATTCCGCTTGTTCGAACGTGGTATACAAGCATTATTGACGTACGTGTCACTGATTTGACTGTGCCTCTTACCGAAACAAAGATACCGTCAAAGTGTTAACCCACAAAGAACGCGACAAAATTTCCAAATATAAAGAAGCGTGCGACTCCAATCGCCTTCCTTCCATCCCTTGTTGTTTCTGTGGATGGCATGCTTGCCCCCAAAGCCAAGATCTCTTACAACCTTGCTTCTTCTACTGCCCTCCAAAACTCAGTTTTCCTACTCTCAAATGATGTTTTTCATGCAGACCTGAATCTCAATTGCCCTTGTGAAAGCTACCCTATTTATGTCTCCGTGGATCTCGCAAGCCAAAAACCATTTGCCCCCGTATGGTCCTCAATTCTTGCCCCTGACCCACAGAACCTAGTCCTGAATTCGACTGTTCTTTGCTTTTAAAAGCCTGGCCCCGGCTGGCTTCCGTAGATAATTTCCCTCCTCTAATCCCCCCTTAACTCTGAGTCGTCTTCTGATGATGAGCCCTTCGCGTGTATTCCTGAGCTCAGAAGCTCGATGGATGCAAGATGCAAAGCAGCACAGACAAAAAAGCAGCTTTCATCATACGTAGATGTGGTAACCAAATATTCTGATTCAAATATTCATAGTACTGTACTTAGGCATGAAACTACTACGTACCTCATCTACGAAAGCCCGAAATCAGGATTTTAAGAATCCAATTAAATTGATCAATTCCAAACCTAAATATAAAACAAACCAAAATTAAAACGAAACAAAATATAAAACGAAACCAATTACTATAAATAACTAGGAATCAAGCGAAACCTAAATATAAAATCGAACCTAAATAAAACCGAAACCAAAATATAAAATCGAAAACAAGATAAATCGAATTTGGTGTAAATCGCATTTCGGGCCCTTTCTACCCAAATTCTACGTGAGTACGTACAACATGCCAATCGTGCTTTAGGAAGCAAGGCTGCGTACACCTCACAAAACACTGGGCCACGCGATCGATGTGGACGCGGGGGCTTTACCGCATCTCACTTTCTTGCTCATCACAAACTCTCAACACGAGAAAAAGAAATCTAGTACCACTACTATCTATCTATTAATCAATACTTTCGCAGCTGTTCGAACATATATATATTATGGCCGCTGAAGCTACCGCTACTGTCGTTACCCGGTCAGGAGAAGCTGACCATGGCGTTGTCGTGAAAAGCAGGCGTTACCATGCTTGGGTCGAGAAGAACATCCCTGACCTTTCGGGCAAAGTTGCCATTGTCACGGGTGGAAACAGCGGCCTTGGATTCTGGGCGGCAAACGCCCTGGCGGGAAAAGGATGCACCGTCGTGCTGGCTTGTCGAAATGTCGCCAAAGGCAATGCGGCCAAGGAGGAAGTCATTGGGTACCACCCACACGCCCAAGTGGATGTCATTGCCATGGACAACATGGATCTTGCCACGGTGCATTCCTTTGCCGAAACATTCAACAGCAAATACGAGCGCCTGGATTTCCTTCTCAACAATGCTGGCATCATGGCACAACCCTTTCAGAAATCAACCGATGGCTTTGATGTGCAATTTCAAACCAATCACCTGGCTCATTTCTTGCTGACCCAGCTGCTGTGGGATAAAATGATGCAAACGGAGGGCCAGTCCAGAGTGGTAAACCATGCCTCCTTTGCTCACGCAACGGGTGGAGTCAAGTTTTCAAAAGACAAAATGGAGAAACCAGACTATGACATTGGGTATTTCGGATTCAATATTTGCCTGTGGAATGCGGTGTTTCCCCTTGGTATTGGAAAAAACCGAGATTACTGGACGCGATATTGCTCCAGCAAACTCTGCAATGTTCTATTTACCAAAGAGATGGAACGAAGACTCAAAAGCAAAGGGGTCAATTTGGATTCCAAGATCATGACGGCATCATGTCACCCAGGCTATTCCAATACCAACTTGATGAATGTGGCCGGTGAAAGTTACGTGGGTTGGAAGATCAAAAACAAGCTATTTTCCCAGTCCCCTGCCGATGGATGCCTTCCACTGCTCAAATGTGTTGTCAGTGATAAAATCAAGAACGGAGACTACGTTGGACCCAAATATTGGCTGTTTGGTTCTCCCAAAAGGAGCCAACCTTGTCGCAACGGCAAAAATGAGAAAATGGCCAAGGAGTTGTGGGAGTACTCGGAGGAATGCGCAAAGGTGTCCTTTAACATCTAATAAATTGAATTTTGAACCGTGAAACCCATGACTGCATCTTGGCCCTATGTTGGATTGCCCCTCAAGGTGACAATTTCAACTGGTAGCTCCCTTTCCGCATTGCTTGAGGCACGACACACAACAGCAAACATAAAGGACGCTGATCGATCTACCTACCTCTAGTCCTGCCTCTAGTGCTACCGTATACCCAGCGAGCCCAGTGCATCAACACCAACAGGCAGACTACCGTACCATACCACGGGCTTCCTTGCTCCAGCTTGGCTGGAAAGATGTGAAATATCTGGAACTGTCACACTGCTGGCTTAATTGAGGATCCAAACCTGGCTTCTTTGAGGTGGCAGTTTTGTGAGATGACGAATGACGAGTGAGTGTAACAGCGTATGAGTATGCTATGGTACCTTGGAACAAAGGAATGCAAGTGGAAGCAAAACACTGACAAATGCGCCCTTTGATTTGGTTTCAGAGATAGTTCATGTTTTGGACTTGGTTGGAGGTGTCTACATGCAGCTCGCTCCTTCCCGTTGCTTTGGATTGACAACTCCCACCCCATCATCTTCGAATCCGTCGGTTTTGTTTGATCAAGAACCTCCTTTCTTGGCCATGGTCATAGAACCAGACTCTTGTGCAAGTCATGCACCCAAACTCTGGCAGTGCTGGAGAAAGTCCTTTCAGTTACTGGAGTGAATCTGATATCTGTCGATGTTGCCAGCGACAACGGGCCATCAAACGTCGACACTTGCTTTTTTGCAAACAAATCAGAGCGAAACGATGTTCGTATTGTTGCCACAAGTGATTGGTTCGATGCTGCTATTGAGGGCGGTCCCCATGGTGTTCATGTGAAAGAATCGCATCAACACAGGATACCGGTGGTACCTGCGATTCGACAATGCGTTAAAGCACAACCTCTCATTGAGACCTCTGTGCATTCGATTGTCTCGTCCCAAGAGGCACTGGAAACGTGCCGGTGCAAACCTGACTATTTCTTTATGGGAACATACTAGTCTACAAAAAACTCATCCAGAAAAGACTACAAATGGCCTAGCCAGAAGGACCCCAAGTTGCCACCAGGGCAAACAAGGCAAGCAATCAACTGCGCCTGTCCAGTATTGCGCTGAACCAGTGTCAATGGGAGGGCAGTGGTGTGGCGAATATCCGGACCCTCCTCCAGGCCAAAGACACAGGTAACTGGCTAGTGACAGAAGTGCAAGGAGCCTGCACACAAAGCAACAAGTAACAATGACTCGACAGCACCAAGCAATCGTTTGGAGATTGACCAATCTGGCTGTGGTCTCCAGAAAACAAAGGGAGCAACTTTCTGTTTGGGAAGCTTGGCACAGAGGACGTGCTTGGGTCCAGGACAGCAAGCTTCCAGTTCTTTGGACTATAGCTATCCATGCAAGGCAGCAGTCGAAGTACGGTACCGCAGATGAAACCTCCCAAACGAAACAAACTACTTTAAGTTGGTTCTTGAATGGCCTTTTCGTCCGATAGGTGGAGACTTGTAATCCTCTTCTGTGAACTTGTTATTGTGGTGTGGCCAGTGGCTACCGAAGTTGGCAAGAGGAAGAAGCCCAACATTTAGACATTTGCTTTTGTCGGCGGCACTCCACCACTGTACAAAGCTTCCTGCTACGGTACCATCTGGATAGTCTGGAGCACACCATACTAGGCTTTCCTGTGTCTTTTACGCACTAGCGAGTGAGTAGGCAATGATGGCACCTCCAAGAGAAAAGGACAGAAGTGTGAGGCATGGAGGTGATGGGGACGGTTGGATTAGCCCCACTTTAGAAACCAATTCCAGGGAGACTATGGGGAGCGAACCCTCTCAATTTTTCTTGTCTGGCTAGCCAGCAACAAGTAAGTGAAGGATGCTACAGTGCTACCGGTACTGCGCTAGCTACGATATTGTCCAAGTCCAGCAGTCGCACCAAAAGAGCCTCATCTCCACCCATCCCCAACTAAATAGTCTCACTGGATGTGCTTTCTTAGATTATTGTTGACAGTTTACGAAACCTAAGTAAGAAAAAAATCTTCTCGGTGGTACCAGAGTACTAGTACTGGCAAGTGGCATGCTGGCATTGCCACTAGCTAGCTACCGGTATGCATAGCTCCAAGTGGTGGTAGAATTTGGGAGCCGTTCCGAATACGAATGTACTACCAGTACATGTATGATACATGCATGCATACTGGTGTCCATGCAGGCAGCATAAAGAGTCGCTGTCTGGAGAATGTGATGCCACTTGCCGCGTGTCTGTGTAGTCACAGCTCCCGCAGGTCATCCGGATTCTTTCCAGTGTGGAAACTGTTAAATCAAAATCAGTGACATTAATTGCCTGACAGTCTTTGGTCACTTCTTTGGAGAAAAATGAGGGTTAGGACGTGCCCCTCAGACATTGGTGGTTTTGATGAGGTTAAGAGGCTTCTGCTTTCCGTGTCTGTCGTTCCCCTCATTTCCGTCGCCACAGCTTTCACCACAATCGTGTCTATTCGTATTCGGGTGGCGGCATTTGGATTGGAACACTGATTGTTCTCAGAGTGCCAAAGGAAGAATCTACAACCCTCGCCAGATTGCAACACAGCAACTTGAAGACATCAGCTTCCACTTCGCTTTTCAAAGAATCTCACAATCCAAAACCTCCTTGTTTTATCATACCTCCCATGTCTCCCTCTGATATCACCAACATGACATTGTATGTGCCTGGAATGGGCGTGATCCCCTCATCTGCGACCTCTGGTCGACCATCCAAGAATTCACGAAGAGATTCATCATCATCATTCTCGTGGAGATCCTCTTGTTCTTCGTCACTTACAACGTCTTCCACCAGCAACGGTCTTTGGGAACAACAACAACAACAGGAAGACTGCTCCTCATCATCGTCCGAGCTCTCCTGGAGTGATCACAGCAATCCAGACTGCGCTGCCACGCTGGTGCGTCAAGTCCGCAAATCAGCTCCCGCCTGCGTCCCGTTTATTGTGCCAGGGATTGGACTCGTCCCGGTTCCAAAGTTGACACGCAGCTCCAGTGCAGGATCTTCGTGTTCCAATCATACTAATGGACGACAACAACACAAGTTAGACTTTCGTCGTCGAAGTGTGGATCGGGCATCGTCCTGGCGAAGTTGCCGCAGTGTCCCTTCCATGGAGACTGTCGTCGAATAATAATAGAAAGACACATACATTTAGGGGGGTTTCGACAAACGAACCATCATTCCAATCGAAACAAAAAGCTACAGAAACTTAAAACTTATATTATAGCACAACAGTCGCTACATCACGCATGCAATCAGGTCCTCCTCTCTAAGAACATACATTAGCTAGCTAGAATTCGACATTTCAATTTCTTTAGTATTGTCCTGAGAGGTCGGCGACGCTACGGGCATTTTGTTTCAACCTTCAATCTATTCTCCGTGGTAGAAGTACCTGTACTAGTATATACCGCTGTGCCTGATATGTACATGCACGTACTTCAGAGCAACAATAATTTCGCACCCAAGCTAGCTGCATACCGGTATCATAGTACCACCGGGAACCCCAAAGCTTGCTCCTGGCAAGCTGGCATTCGAGCATGTTTGCCGTCAAGACGCAATGATACTACCAGACCTGTCTTTTAACTTACGGGGGAACACCTGTACCAAGTATCTTCTAGTATCTCTCAGCCCTTTACATGGTTCTGGGGTATCCCTTTGTCTCTTGGCTTCTTTATCCTGGTGGTGCTGCTCGCTCGCTCGTTGGCTTCATTTTAAAAGCAAGCTTCGTACCCGTAAGGGGCTGTGAGAGTGGTGGGCAGGGATGTCATCGCGAGAGCCATAGCTGCGTGTGCTGGGAAAAGTCGTTTTGAAACGTGGGTTTAGCCTGCCATGTTGCAGCATGATTGCTATCTTGGTTGTTATTAATAGAGTACTGTACCAGTACTGTCAGAGTATCTCGCACCACCACCGATCGTTTCTTGGCTGCCTGCTGCCTGGAAGTTAAGCAATCCGCGATTTCCGGCCGCAGTCCTCGTAGCTATCCAGAGGGCATTTCTTCCCTGGTAAACCCTTGCGTCTCTCTCTCTCTCTCTCTCTCTCTTGTGCTGACTCCGGCGTAGTCGCTCAGGGATATTGGTACCATTGAAGGGCATCTGCTGGATTACCTGGAACACTCACGATAAAAGCCTTTATGTACGAAATGACCGTATTATAAGCCTATAAGTCATAGAGCATGAAACTACTTAATCGTGAATGTCGGAATTCTGAGAGGATGTCGGAAAATGTCGGCGTTTGTACGAGAATGTCGGAGTTTGTATGAGAATGTCGGAAAATGTCGGCATTTTGTCGGAAGGTTTCTCAGACATTTTGCCGACATTTACGATTAAGTCAGTTGTCCGTTTTGCTTACTTAAACTCAGTCGGGGATTTATAAGTATCAGCGTTCTTGTACCACATAAGACTCATTCAGCGAGTTCCGTCCGTTTTGGAAAGCGGTCATCCGTTCTAATCGTCAATGTCGGAAAAGTAGAAACTCATGTCGGAAAATGTCGGCGTTTGTACGAGAATGTCGGCGTTTGTATGAGAATGTCTGCATTTGTCGGAAAATGTCCGCAATGTCGGGACATTGTCGGGAAACTTTCTTCTGTCATTTAGGCTATATGATTTAAGACCAGAAGAGGTCATATATATCTTTCAAAAGGCTTTATCGGGAGTGTTCCTGGAAGGCAGCCGATTTTAGAGGTAGGGTTGGCTTGTGCCGGATCGCTGAAAGTCGTTCCTATTCGCGCTGCGCGACTTACCGCGAGTTTCCCGCGATTCGCACAACGCGAATAGAACAAATGGCGCGACTTCACCGCGACTTCCCGCGACTTTCTTAGTTAAATTGCTAGTATTTACAAGTCGCGCAGCGCGACTTAGCGCGAGTCGCGAACGACTTTCCAAGTCGCGCAGCGCGACTTAGCGCGAATCGCGAACGACTTCACGCGACTTACGGGAGTGCGTATTTTTAGCGAATCGAGCATATGCTAGGGTTAAGGCCTAATCGGCTGCCTTCCTGGGGCACGCTTGCACGTACGGTACCATGTACCGGTACGATCTGAAGCCGAACCGAAAACAGGCGGCGCGGGGGCTCAACCTGATTCATTCTGGTGTGATGTAATGTCAGCGCTGCTGCTTTATATTATCTCCTGCGAGGTGGCCTTTCCCCTGTCATTCTCATTCCTGTGCTCTGTACCGGTACCATACGGTACCAGTCATTTTGCTAGTCTCCGGCACCATTTGGTTCAAAATCGAGGCTCAACAGCCTCTCCCACGCACCGTTCAGGTGCTGAGAGCTGGATGGGTTGTCCGATGAACAAACCGGTGGGCAATCTACTTGTTTCTTGCTTGGAGTGTACTCTAAAACTGATGTCACGAAGCCAAGGCATAGCTAGGCAGACTTTGTGTTATCTAAGGTTTGAAGTCAGGTTTTATGCGTCGCACCAAGTTGCTTGAAACGAAAGGATCCTCCATGTGCGTTGGCTGGTTAGTCAATCCATCTGCAATCTAAAAGGATCCCCAGCCAGTTGTTTCTGCGTTTTTTGATTCAGCGATGTGTGTTCATTGCTTGGTTTGCATTGCTCCACCCATGGTGATTCAATTCCGTTCCCTTCCGGCTGGATGTTTTTATCATGGTCTCCTCCTCCAGCCAAATATATTTCCCCCGGAAGGAAAGCATTGCGTGCGGTGAACTTGCCCACCAAACCAACGTAGCGATGGTCCCCTGTTTCGGGGAAGGCAAGTCCTGAAAGCAGCCAAGCTGAGAGCCCCACCGGACGAGGAAGCCACCTGGCTGCCGTGATGTTCAGCCATCGTGGGAACAACACTCCTCGAAGCAGATTACTACTAGAAGGCATTGCAAGGAGTACCGTTTATTGCTGGGACTGAGCACAACAAGACAGGATGCCGGTACATCGCCATAGATCTAGCTCGCTACCTGCCAGCCAGCGCTATTATCATACCGTACAAGCCAGCTACAAGCCAGGACAAGAAAAGAGTCTACTACGAAGAGAACACGCACATGCAGAGAGAACAGTTCACCAAGCGAACCCCTTCATTGCTGAACACGTGGGAAGTTGGCATCCTGGAACATGATGAGAAGAGTCCTGATCCAAGAGTATAAGAGAGCTCCAAGAGTATCCAAGTGCACAAGTGCACCACGAACCACTCTATGAATTCGCAACTGAATCCAATCCGGATCTGGCTAGTAGTCTGACAATGGATTATTGTTGTATCAAACTATGGTTTGGTACTACCTACCTGGTACTTGCTGCAGCTAGCTAGTACATGGTGGTACCAGCTGCATGCACCTCGCCAACAAACATCCTACAAGTAATTTCGCAAGAATGCTCGTGGCCTACGGTTGCTAGTAAGCTCTAGCTGGTAGCTAGTATCAGTAGAGTTAGGCAAGTGTTGGTTGTGGCGACATAGGGCTCAGTCCGAGCACGAGCGCCACCGAAGTCCTGTCAAGAGGGGATGAAACGTGTACATAATAGTTTTGTTTGCAAAAAAAAGAGCCTGGCTCACCCGTGTATCTTTCTGGTGAGAACACCTTGAGCATTTGGTCTTCGGCTCTCAGAATCCAAGACAGAAGACAGGTGAAGAGAGGAGAGCATGAGAGATGAGAGCATGCACAGGAGTTTTTCAAACATTCATACATTTTTTCTATTCAAGAAACCAACTCGTAGATGCTTTTGGTTGCTATCTACGCGGAGGTGACCCTCTGGTACGGTACTGTACCGGTAGGCAAAGCATTGAAGCATTGAGCAATGAGCAAGCAACCGATCACCTACCATCATAGAACGGTTCGGTGACGACTCGGCTCGACTCGACTCGTGTCTCTCAAAGCGAAACGCAAAGTTCAAAAGTTTTAGTGGCCACCTGGACGCCTACGTACTACCGGTACTGGTACGACTCTACCATAGTAGCTACCGGTAGCCTGGATATCGTCCAGCAGCTCGCTCTACTGCCTATTAGTACCGGTACTCTACGTAAAGGCAGAGCTGGGGTACCGCTTGCCGCAGGCGAAGTGGACTCATTGTGGGATCGGCTTACTTTGCAGTTGCAAGGGACGGCAAGTTCCAGAAGTGTCGAATGTCGAATGCAAAGAACATGTCGGACGCCCCAAGTAAATGGTTACTCAGAGTACTTACTATCTAAGAGGAGTACTCGGAATAGATGGTTCTATGATTTGTCCTAGGGCCTCATGATTTAAACCTGAATTTGTAGGGTGATCAAGAGACATAGAGATTCCAAGTAGAAAGGTTGAAGTGTAATCTGTCCGCCCATTTCCTCGGATTTCACTAAGAGAACAATACTCACCGGAAATAACTTCACTAGATTTACCTAGTTAAATTTGAGAGAGCGTTATGGCAAGGCTGGCTTTTTAACTCTACCAGCGGAAAGCTTCTTTTTCGGGGATTATGAGGTTTTAAATAACGACTACTGTTTGAATCTTGGATGGACGTTGAAACTTGCTTTCGCCGGATTTATTGACTATATAAACAAGTGTACAAAGACAGCTTCGCATTATGAAAACTGAAGGTAGTCGTTGAAATTCGATTAGTCGTGGTGCAGTGGTAAACCGTACTGGTACTCAGAGCTCAGAGTACGAAACAACAACAAAACAACCGTCGCCGCAGCTTCTACTAGTAGTAAAAAGGACGACCATGGCGCTCCTGTGTTCCTGTTGCTTCCTCCTGTATCCTTGGAAATGGATTGGACAGATTACATACAAATGACGTCCCTGCTTCTTGTCGGTCTCGAATGTCGGCAGCGATCTCGTCGCTCTTCCAGGCCTTTCGGCCCTCCTTTCGCGCCTTGATCTGGCCTCCATCCTCGCCCTTGCGACCACGGTCAGCCGTGCACCCTCGGCTTTGCCTCGGATTTGCACGACTGACCTCGTCTTCAATCAGCCGGAACGTTTTTCTACAAGATGCCAAAATAGATACCGTAGTACTGAGTACCTGGTACCTGGTACTCCGAGTACGAGTACACATTAGTCGCATTGCCCCCTACCGTACTGAGTACGAGTACCATTATGCTGAATGATGGTCAAGCAAGGTGCAAGGCACTCCATGGTCCAAGGTTCACTTGTACCAGTGTACCAGCGTATGATCGACTGCAGCTTCGCTCGCAATCAATCATCTCTAAC